TTCCTGGTTACTTCCTGGTTAATGTCATAACATTGAAGAGTATATTTCAGAAATCACAGAAACAGTTATGGCTGTGTGTGACTCCCCCACACTTAGGTTCTCCCATTTCCCATGATGCACTGCAGCACAGGTATAAAAGCTCATTCTGCAGTTGCTCCGGTTTCTTAACAGGATCCAGCAAGATGGCTGCCAGCGGAGGTAAGTGCTTCTAGATTTGTGTTGAGTGTCCGAGTCATAATAAAACGTTAAAAGATGGTAAAACAATATGCCTGTTGAACAGCTAACAATTTTTAGTCCCCAGAATGTTTTTTATGGTTTGTTTTTGGTTAGCCAGGAACGTTTTCTTAATGTAAAAAGAATGTTAGTTTTTGGTTTGTATAATGTTACTATAACATTATTTTAATTGATTAACTGTTAAAGCACAATCACGACCCAGTATAGTATAAGTGATGTGGAAATTATCTGTATGGACGCCTAATCAGTATTATAAAATATATCTTGTTTTTATCTATGGTTTAATTAATAGAAATGATCTGAGCAACTATCATATGTAAGATTAAATCTGTCCATTACGAATTTCAGGGCTCTGCACAAAAACATCTGCAACGTTTTCATTGGAAAGATAGAATAACCTGAGAGTAACCATTAGGGAACGTTCTGTACAAGTTATTTTTAGGTTATTTTAAAATAACAACAATAACCTCTAGGGAAAGTTCTCTATACCCAGAGAGCGCACGCACGTCGTCTGTGCGGATGTCTTCGTCTGGCAGATGTATATTTTAGGGTGTTTGCTCATCTGTCATACGCCACTGAGACATTTCTTCCAGCTGTTAGGACAACGCCTAGCCTGTGTATTTAAGACGTTAATTAATTTAGAACGCCCGTGATCTGCTCTTTAAACGATGTTTATCAGATGTTCATACATCTGCAAGATGTCTGATTGATGTAGGACAGATGTCGTTTTATCAAAACTTTCCCCCTCACATTATTTGTTCACATTAAGTGTTCGCGAGGGAACATTTGGTTAAAGGGGTCATAGGATGACCATTTTCCACAAGTTGATATGATTCTTTAGGGTCTTAATGAAAAGTCTGTAACATAGTTTGGTTAATTTCTCAATGGTAGTGTAAAAAACAAATTTTTTACACGGTCAAAAACAGCTCTTTTCAGATCAAGTCGTTTTTGTAGCATGTCACTTTAAATGTTAATGAGCTCTGCTGACCACGCCCCTCTCTTCCGAGCCGCTCTTTGAGGGACTGTTTACTTTAGCCGCATTCATGTCTGAAGCTTGCGTTCGAAGCATGGCAGGAAGCCTAGAGGACACAGTGTCTCGTTCCCTACTGAGGGAACCATGGTTACATAAGTAACCGGAGACGTTCCCTTTCAAGGGAATTTCGCACGGCGTCCTCTAGGGGTCGCTATGGGGAACGATATACCCACGCCGCCATGCTGAGGGGAGTGCGGGCCAGAACCATGGCGAGCACTAAGTATCAACTTTACCATTTTCATGGTGAGTTGCCCCTGGGACGTCAGACGGCTGTCCGTG